CCAACCTTCACATTTGTAAGGGAGCTGTTCCTTGTGACCGAAAGGAGTGAAATAATACTGTACACATCTTGTTCAGTCAACAAACACCCATTAAGTGCCTTGTACTGGACAAGACAGGCCATATTCTGGCCCTTAAGATCATAGAATGCAGGTAGAGAGACATTAAATGAGTAAGAACTGTCTCTGTGCACTTCTCTATCCTCATGTCTGATGATCTCTCCCTCTTTTTTCTGTAATCCACAAACCTCTCATTTCCTTAAGTGAGTCAAGCTCCCTCTAGCCACAGGCCTTCTACCTGTTCCCTCCTCACTTCCCCAACCCCCACCCATGGCCTGGCTGATTTTAGACTCCCTTTGGCTCTCAGATTCAATGGAAGTTAGGGACATAGAATTCTGTCATTGTCTTTAGAGCAGTAACATTTTGCTAAAATAATTCAGAACATATATCCACATCTTGGGACTCAGAAAAATGTTAACTGGTTTGTTCTTAAACAATTAAGAAGTAAATGTGGATAAATAATTCAAATCTAGTTTGTGCCTAGTTTATAGGCATAGTAGTCTTAGGATCTTCCAAAATTAGGAATGCTTCCCTTGGGTTCCCGATTGTACATTAATATTTTTTAAGCAATAAGATAGAAATTGCAGGACCCCAAGAGATGGGTCTAGGATTTCACTGTAATATGAGTTGTGGAGCCATGACTGATGTCACTTGCAATATTTCTCTTCCCTGATGGAAGAGGTTTATAATTTTCAAATAGCCCAGAGCAGCAATGAGCCTTATGGTGTCTGACAGAATAATTTTACCAGAGATACACATAAATGAATATAGAATATGATGCACTAATCTCCTCAGAAGCTCTCATTTAGTAGAATTAGGAAGAAGTGTGTGGTAATCATATTATAATTTGAAGTTATATATTTGTCCTGAAGTAATTAAGATTCCAGTGGTACAATATATTTGACTTCCTTAGAGACTTTTTTTCTTTTAGTACAGGATAAATATGATGTTCTCTTTCTTGGAAGTTTTTCTAGGATTTGTTTCTTAGTAAGAGTAGTGGGGGCATTATTTAATTAATTAATTCACCCAGGACTCAGCCTAGTCATTTCCAAAACTGAGAGACATTACCTCTTGTTAATAGACCCTTAAGTTTGAGAAAATCAAAAGATCTTTAAAACAGCAAACAAGAGTGGACAGGGTGACATGGTGAGTCCTTATTCCACAAGTGCTTTATTTTACCTGGCACACATACAGGTACAACTGTCACTTAACATTTTATACCTGAACTTACACCATTTTTCATGCTTGGGATACTGTGTAATTGCAAAGATTCTAAAACCTACAGCACAATGAGGACCCAGATTTTGTTTTGTAGTAGTTTTGCCATGAGGGACTCATTCTCACAAATTTGTAGTTTAAGACTTAAAATATGTAACCAAATAGGAAAGAAAAGAACAAATATGGACAAATAAGCTCTGCTTTAGAGTCTGTTTAGTTTCCTTTCCTTGGATCTCTGTACAAGAGGTTTTGCCTTATGTGTTAATTGTAATTAGCAGGCAGAAAGGGGGTTGGGATTTTAAGTGGAGAAATCAGGGGAAAAGGGTTCAAGGAGCTGGAAGGTAGAAGCACTGAATGCAATGTTTTTATTATTTTCTGTAAAAATAGCCAAACACAAAATTTTGGTCCAATTGTCATGATGCTGCAGCTATGACAACCCCTGAGAGTGGGTTCTCTGGCTAAAAGTGTATTTTGAAACATAGAACAAAGGCTCAGGCCTTTTCAAATTTACTGTTCAAGTTGGGCAACCATGTCTAGAGCCCAGACCTAAGGCCGGATGCTGGATCACACACTCCTTTTGTATAGATTGGAAGGTTCCAGTTTTGGAGTTTAATTTGGTTGCAATGTGGAGTCTTAAGATCACACTGTTTTCTTTTTGGCTTTCTGCCTCATCGGACCCTGTCTCCACAAAGGTTTGTAGAAAATGTCCAGCATCCTTGGGTGACCCACAACTTCTTAAGTTGTACTCAGAACCACATCAAGGGGGAATGGGATCAAGACCAAAGGGTTTAAATGACCATTCTGGTAGATGAGATGAATAGAAGAATATCCTATGTGTATGTATAGTTTCAGAATATCTTGTTTCAATAGTCATATTTGGCCTATAAATTTGTAGGCAATGTAGTAATATCAGGTCTTCTTTTTCAGAGCTCTTTAAGTCATGGAAAAACCAAGTAAGTGATTTAAGTGTTTACATTCATTTTATAATGTTAAATCTATTGTTAATACGTTCTTTGTCATAATGTTTTATTCAGTTTCTGAAAAGATGTAATTTCCTTTGTTTTGTTTATGCTTCAGAACCCAGAGTCTAGTTCACTGTTTTGACTGTAGAGACAATCTACACATATATCCACTATCACTAAGTTTTCCTCTAAAAATAAAAAAAAAAAACTTAGATAAGCCTAAGGAATTTTAGTCTTACTGAGAAATATGTTATATAATTTATATTATATTCCATCTAGATCAGTTTTTCCTTTTAATGTGCATTTTATATACAAAAATATTATTTAACTCAAATTAACAGATAATAAATTTAATATGTCAGTCCATTGTAGTAAAATCTTCAGATATATCCTTGCTATATATTTCATAACATTCAGAGGTGAACAGGTTTAAATAAATACCAATCGTATGTTATGGCTTTTTACTATCAAGAAAATTCTAGGGGTGCCTGGGTGGCTCAGTCGGTTAAGCGGCCAACTCTGGATTACAGCTCAGGTCATGATCTCAGAATCATGGGATCAAGCCCCTCATTGGGCTCCATGCTTAGCATGGAGTCTGCTTTCCCTCTCCCTCTGCTCTTCCCCTTTCTCTCTCTCTCTCTCTCTTTCTATCTCTCTTGTTCTATCTCTAAAATAAATAAATAAATAAATAAATAATAAATAAATAAATAAATAAATAAATAAATCTATCTTTAAAAAAAAGGAAAATTCTAAATAAGATGGGTATTGACCAAACATATAATAAAAGACTTTGTCTTTTTTTAAAATCTAAAGTTCTGAAGAGGAAAACAATACATATGTGGGAAAGTGTGAAAAACAAAATCCTGTTTTGTGAGAAGATTTATATTCTGTTTATTTTTGTTTAGATACCAAAGAGACATTTATCTCTCACCACAGTGTCAGCCTTGCTAGATACATTAGATACTCTGTAGGACTAGAAACCTCAGCTTTCCTTCATGAAGTTTCATGATCTTCCCTTAATGTTTGCTATATTAATTTAATTTTACTTACAAAACTTTTTAGATGTACATTGATACAGTATTACACTGCTATATCTGCTGCAGCATTAGGATGCTTCAGATCACTTTAGAAACATTCTTTTGGCCAAGGTCATAGTCACTTTTTAACTCTTCATCTTCATATATATAATTGTGTGTGTGTGTAAATGTGCATAAATAGAAATAAAATGTATATAAGTATGTAAATATATATAGAAGTAAGAATTACATTTCTTTATAACATGACATTCCTATGATATCTGTAAATTATTTTAAGTTCCATTTCACAAATGCAGAAATCCATTCATCATTCATATGCTCTTTGGTCTATTTAATCACTTCCCCATTTGCTTGTTTTCCCTTTATATGAATTTCTGCTGAAATTCCTAAAACTAGGATCAACACTCTGGAGCCAAAACCTCAGAGATTATGAGCTTCTAATTTCTTGAATCTATCAGCTCCCAGATATGTATGTGTATTTACTATTGTTCAAATAATGGTACCTATTAAGAGGTGCCAAATGTGACATATCATTCAAGAGGAGATCTGTTAGTCAGACTTGCAGTGTGTTTTCTTGAGATCTGGTAAGTGTGACCCCACTCAGGTTGGGTGTGGGAGCTGTGGGCAGGGCCTTGAGAGCTAGAGAACTAAGAGGTAGGCCACCCACTTGAAGCCAACAAACAAGGGAATGGTTGGGATGGAATGACCTGTGGTAATTCAGAGATCTGTAATAAATCAGGGTATGTTGCACTATCCGTTCAGGGAAAAGCCCAGATGGAAGTAGAGGATTCTTTGTTACCTGAATTTGCACAGTCTCCATGGACTCCATTCTGCTGAAGGTATTATGAAACCAATTGAATGGAGGAGGACGGTGGCTCACAATCCAGCTTTCCTACTGAAAACACATGAGTTGAGTGGTCTTTGAAGGCCTTGTGGTAAAGAAGTACATAGAAAATATATCAGATTGAAAGTTTGACTTACTTTTTCTTCTGTATTAATGCCATGCCCTCATCATTCAGTAAGAAACTATTTTGAATTTATAGTTAGCAAGCCATAATGAAACATGGTTTAAGTGTAGTGTCCACTAGACCATAAGTTGCATGAAGACAGAGGCGGTATAGCCTCAGAGCTCAACTCAGAGGCAAGATAGGAGGTGTTCAATAAATATTTATTGTCTGACTGGGATGGCTACTAAATAAGTGACTAGAAAACATAAATATGAAGAACTAGGAGGTTCAACAAAGTTTAATATGTTAGTTTTTTGTAATTCAGTCAGTTATGATTTTTGTAGGTCAAAATCAGTCAAATATTAGGAATTTCCTATGGTTCAACCTTATTGGGGTAGTTGCAGAGTAAGCATAAAAAGGATATTTAAATACTGAAATGTATGCATTATTTTACATATTTTTAAAATAATTCTTACAGGAGTAATTATAGATATCTTTGAAAACTAGAAATTCAGCCCCAGCCACTCAGCTGTCTCATTTTATCCAAAAAGGAATTTGTTTGAAACAGGATTCTACTGCAAATTAAGTCTGATAGCAAGCATTGCTTTTGTTGAGTGAAGAGTTCACTTTACCAATTTTAGTACAGCACAAGATCATATAAATGAAAATTATTTAAGGACAATGTATTTTTCTTTCTAAGGACAATGTATTTTTCTTTCTGACATATATTTTATTAAAGTAGATATATGTTTACCTCTCCCTGAATTGCAGGTGGGCAAATGAATGCTCCTCATCCAGGAACAAATTTACCTCCTGGACATCTCCCTGAATATCCTTCAGCAGCAGTCCAAGGTAAAACATTTGTCTAAAGAACAAAAACTCCCAATTTTTCAATTATTGATATTCCCCAAAGGGTATATGTGTCTGCCTGTGTGTGTATATTTTAGTAGTGTCTTTGACTAAAAGTGCAATAATGAAATTGGCAGCCTAGTTCTTAGTTTTTTTGCTTGACTATGTATTATCATAAATAACATGAATGTAATTTTTACTTATACAGGATAATAAAGATGTAGAGTCAATAAAAACAGTAGTGAGTTTACATTTAGCAAATAAAGTTTGACATAAATTAAACCCCAAAATACACATTTTAAGTAAAAGATTTCATTGATTCTTCATCTCTAAAAATTGTCATCGTGCACATAGGAGATTTATCCCTGAGTATTTTTGAGTCAGATATTAGCTGAGGGTAACTGTGTACAGTGAGGGTCACAGAAAAGAGGTGACTGCTTAAAACTGGAAGCTGTAAGTAATAAAAATGCAGCTACCTGGGGATAATTCTCATTTTCATTTTGTATTTGCTTTTGTATACATTCTGAATCATGCCTTACATCTAAGAAAAGCAGTTGAATCATATCACTCCATACTAGGGAATACATTTTTCCCTTTGAACCAATGAATAGAAGACTTAAGAGATTTTCATTTAGACAAATGCAGTTATCAAAATTACTAGAACTTTACTAAATGGCAAAGCTCATGGTGCACCCAGATTTACAATTAGTCTGGCTACTACCATCTTGAGACCATCCTAGGGATTTAGGATCAAAAGGAATCAGGTTTGGGCAGAAGGGTGTATCTGGTTTGTTTTCTCCTCTGAGCAAATAAATCTGCTTTGGAACTAAATGGCCTCTTTAATTGTCTAGCCAAAAATTTTGCAGTAGGGCCTGGATCTCATCCAGATGTTTGCAGTTATAAGAATGTGAGCTAGAAAATCTCTAAGGTTATAGTTCTCAAGAGTGCCTGCACTTAAGTAGTACTTGGAAGCTCTTATAAACACTATACCAGGGCACTATCCCAGGAAAATTAAAGCAGAAGCTCAGGTAGTGAGATCCAAGGATTAGTAACTTTTTAAATTTCCCAGGTAATTCTAATGTGCAGCCAGGGCTGAGGATTGCTGCTCTAAATTCTTATATGATGACTGAAGAATTATTAGCAAGCTGTAATATTCATCCAAGGCACTTGCAGAATGATTTAATCCACCCCACAGATAATTAAAAGTGGGTGATACATAATTAAATTCAGTTATAATCAGACTTGAGAGTTCGTGAGAAAAATAGCTTAATTTTATTTCTCAAGTCCAAGACCACATATAGTTCAGGTTTTAATATGACAATGATGCTAACAGTAGTGATAGTTTAAAATTGAGAGCTTACTGTGCATAATGTGGATTAACTCATTTAATTCTCAATCTTATGAGGTCAGTACTATTGTCCCCACTATGCAGGTGGGAAAAAGGCATAGAGAGGATGTATCAGGCTTCAAGTTCTGGCCTCTATACTTAATAGTTGTATGGTGGTTCAAACAAGTTGCTCTATACCTCTAAGCCTCAGTTCTTTTTTTTTTTTTTTAAGATTTTATTTATTTATTTGAGAGAGTGAGAGAGAGAAAGCATGAGCCAGCGGCAGAGGGAGAGGGGGAGGGAGAAGCAGACTCCCCACTGAGCAGGGAGCCCAGTGTGGGGCTCTGTCCCCCCGACCCTGGGATCACTACGCGAGCCAAAGGCAGGTGCCCAACGGACTGAGCCATCCAGGCACCCTAAAGCCTCAGTTCTTATCTATAAAATGGGGCTAATATTTTCCAATTCAGTTTTGTTTGGAGATTGAATGAGAGTATATGTAAAACACCTAGTACAATGATTTACAAATAATAAGTGACAAATATTTGTTGACTATTATATTAATAATGTATTAAATCAATTGGACTTTATACAAATGAAAATATTATCCAAATTTCAGGTAATTCTGTATGCCTAATTCATTGATTTGTGAAATAATCAACTATCCTCTCCAAGAGTCTTGAGAAGATTGAAATATGCTAATAATGTAACCTATTAACTCATATATCCCCATTTGGTTTGCCTGTGATCTGATCTTTGCACTGTAGCCAGTGATCTTTAAAAATGCATATCTGTTCATGTTACAGACAGTATTCAATGTGTACATCATTGGCTTTTTGTTGCTTTTATGATAAAGGCCAGAATGCTTGATTTGGTTCACTAGACCTGAGGGGCTCCCCTGCATTCTCTTTAACTGTCTGTTAAGCCTGACTCTCTGCTATTCAAGTCGATGTGCCTTTTCAAAGATGAGTAGAAACCCTATATGTGTTGCTGTCCCAGGGCTTCTCTGTGAAACCTTTTTCCCTATGCCCCTGGTTTACTCAACTCCTTTGTATCCTTTAGATCTCAGCTGAAAGGTGGTCCTCAGGGAAGCTGTCCCAACTCCCTCCTTTTCTCTCTCCCCATCCCAACACTTTCTTTTGGCATATATAGTCATAAAAATCTGGTCCCTTCTTTCAAAGAGCTTGTCTTCGACTCTCGTTAATCAACTGATCATACTGGTGTTGTGGATCCCTAGAGTAAAGGATAAATATAAAGTTATCTTCCCCATTAGGCAGTGAGGGAAGGGATTGCATCTGCATTTCTCATTTTAAATCCCAGTGCTCAGCACTCCTAAAAACTTTGTAAGATATAAATCGGATTATGGAACTCATTTGTGTGCTTAAAATCCTCAAAGTCCTGTCAATCACCCTTGGAATAAAATCTAAACTCCTTATGAATGGGCTCCCTAGATGAACTGCTCCTATTTCTTCACTGATAGCAGTTTCTACTCTTCCTCTCCTTTATGATGTTTCTCTCTTTCTCAAACATGCCAAATTTATTCCTAAAGTTGAAGATTTTTGCATTTGGTTTTCCTTCCTCTTGAACGTTTCTCACCAGATCTTTACATAAAGCTTTTCCTTTCTCATATTCTAGATCTCAACAGAGTTTTTTTTTTTTTCTCTATCTAAAGTAACTAGTTGATACCTTTCCCTCTCTACCATGCATTTTCTCTATGAGTTCCATCTGAAATCTTTTAAAAAGAATTTATTTACTTTTTCCCAAAAGTTGCCCTATAAGCATCCTGAGGACAGGTTGCCTTGTTGATAGCTGTGTCCTCTGATTCTAGACCAGAGCCAGTCACATTGTAGAACATTGGTAAATATTTATTTATTCTAAGAAGGAATGAATTATAAAAACTATATTTAAAAGGTATTAGTATGAGATTTTGTCTTCTAAATCTTTTTATAATGGTGTATGTATTTTGCCATCAGTGATTTTTTTTAAAGTATTTATAAATTTTATAATCTAAGAATAAATTTTATATAGCCTTTCCTGTTAAAATATTATGGAACACATTCCTTTGAAATTATATTCCATTGCTGTGGGACTGCTACTCTGTGCACTATTCATGTAAGCTTATGAAGCTTCATTGTAATCACAGATTCACGTGGAATACCGAATATATACCTATTAAATTTCTTCCTCTCCTGTGCTTATTAAATACCTAGGACAAGTTTGCCTATTGTAACTTTTTCCCTTCCTTGGTTCTCAAATTGTATTTTTCAGAGTGCTGAGAGCAATAAATTATGAAATTTAAATTTGTAACCTAACTATCATAATGGATTTTTTTTTTTTCTTTCTTGTAGGAGGTCTTAGGACAGGAATGTGCCATGGGTTAAAAGTTCAGGCCAACTGTTAACCCAGATAAGCACCTGGACAATAGTGGAAGTAACAATATGCTTTTACCTCTATACCAGAGTTTCTCAACAGCAGCACTATAATATTTTGGGATGTATAATTCTTTTTTTTTTCAGGGCACTTTCTGGCATTTCAGGAAATATTTAGCAGCATTCCTGGCCCTCCAACTACCAGATGCCAGTATCACCCTCTGTTCCAGCTGAAACAACCAAAAATGCTCCAGAACTTGCCAAATATTTCTTGAGGGGATAAAACCCCCTGTAGTTCTTTACATAAGGGAGGTACTGTTTCCTACAATTCCAGAATTATCATATTTTTATAGAGTGCTTTGGTTTTAGAAATGCTGACTCAAAGCCTTTACTTTGGGCCTTTGACACAATGACATCTCTCTTTTCTATTGAAGTATTCCAGACTCTTTATGTAGGTGACTCTAGATCATTGTTAATTTTCTGTCACTTTCTTAGGTTTCAAGAGTATTTTCAACTGAGTTTGAACAGTGGATAAAGCTTGGGCCAACTCTATTCACAGTCCCAAGCCCTGTAGGAGTGGATATGAAACCACAGATATTTCATTGAAAATTTGCTGAAAGATAAAAACACAACATTTAAGCTTCATAGAAACAGGATTTCTGAGCTAAAATTTCAGTTTGCAGAGTTTTAGGAGTAATCCCAAAAGAATTCATGTTTCATTTTCTGTGCAGTTACAAATTACTTCACCTGTTTCTATTTCAGGACCTCCAGAACATACTGGCTACCCTGGCCCCCATGTTGGCTACCCTGGCCCTCAGGCTGGCTATCTTGGCCCTCAGGCTGGCTATCCTGGCCCCCAGGCTGGCTACTCAATTCCGCCAGCTGGTTATTCAGGTGCTGGCCCAGTAGGCTTTCCTGTCCAACACCAGCCAATGTATAATCAGCCAGGTGGACCTGCAGGGGTACCATGCATGCCAGAACCACCACCTCAATTAGACTGTCCACCTGGATTGGAATATTTAAGTCAGGTAATTTCAAATAAATGAAACACTCATAAAAAGTAAAACTGTCCTAATAGTTCGCTTAATGAAATTAACAAATGATTAATTCACAAAAGTCTGAAATGATAAAACAACATTTAATGCTGACAAATTACTATACTTCTTCTAGGTGAAGTTTACTTTTAAAGCAAAATACAAATATCTTAAGAAATTGTGTTTTCTATGATTTTTGAATATAATCTGTGGTAATGGCCAATAACAAACCTTTATTAAGCACTATTTTCCAGACTTTGTTCCTAAGTATAACACATGTATTAACTTATTTAATCCTTTTAGAAGCTCTATGATATATAGGTGCTAATATTATCATCATTTTACACAAGAGGAAACTGAGGTCCAGAGAAGTTATATAATTGACTCAGAGCCAAAACACTAAGGAAGTGGGAATGGCTTCTTACTTCTAGAGCCTTGGTTCTGGATCTCACTGTCTTTAATCCCAACACCAAATAACTTCCTGGAAGGTGAAAAGAAACATTAAACTAAATTTCACTGCATGATACCATATCCTAGCAATGTGAGTGTTAATATTTGCCCAGTGTTGGAAATCTGGTAGGTAGAGTAGGAATATGAAATCCTATGTGTCTGATCAATAAACAAATAAATATATTCCTGTGGTAACCAACCAGTTTTCAGTAAATGAATTGGCTCTCTTGTACTCTCTGTACTAATTTAATTTCCCACAATGCACTTGGCAGCATGTATTGTAAGAACTTGTTGTAGTTCATATATTCTCTGACAAATACCTTAAACAGATTCTTTTTAAAATCAAGGCCTTACAGAATGTATAGGGGAAGTTATTACCTGCTCCAAAAGATGATATCAAGCACACTTCAAATTTTTTTTTTAGATTTGGAAAGAATCTCTTCAAATGGATAAAGAGTCTTAATATTTCTTAAGTCTTTTCAAGAAGGAACTTTAAAAAAAAAATTGAGAGGGATTCCAGTGTAAGTCAATTTTATTTGAACTGAATTTGCCCACATTAATAATGAACACATTCAATGATTGTTTTTCAATTAAAGATATATTAATTTTAATTTTATACATTTTAGGTATAAAAGTTTAGAAGTAAGTACGCTATTATTAAATATTGATAAATATTGATAATTGATTATATGCATTCCTTGAAATATAAAAGCACTAATATTAATTAGGTTGGTGTAGAAAGCGTGGAAATATAGCTTAATTTTTTTTTTTTTTTTTTACTGTAATAGATAGATCAGATACTGGTTCATCAGCAAATTGAGCTTCTGGAAGGTATGTATTCATTGTATTGATCATATTTCTAGAAAGAGAAGATGTTTATACAGATAAAGGTGTATCAGCAACCACAAATGTAACACTTTTACTGATTATTTATAAATGTCTCTCTTCATGATAATGAAATGGTGGTAATTATCAGTAGCTCATTTCTGCAAATTAGGAGTCAACCGGTAAAATACTATTATTCTGAGCATCTGTTCTCATGCTACAGACCCTAACTTACAAGGAAACCAATCAACACTTACTTTTTCTCCCACTTCTCTCTAGAAATCATTTCAGCTGTTTTCTCCCCAGCCTATGATGATCTTGATATTGACACAGAACCAAATGCACTAGTTCAGTTACCTTAGTACATTTCTAAAGCAAGTAAACTTCTTCAATTTGGATGGGTATGTTTTGGAAAATTGTATTCTTGCCCGCAATTTTTTTTAAAGATTTTATTTATTTGAGAGAGGAGGAGAGACAGTGAGAGAGTACAAGCTGGGAGGAGAGGGAGAAGCAGGCTCCCCGCCGAGTGGGGAGCCCGATGCGGGGCTCAATCCCAGGACTCTGGGATCATGACCTGAGCTGAAGGCAGACACCCAACTGAGTGAGCCACCCAGGTGCTCCTCTTGCCTACAGTTTTTATTAGGAGTTCATATGAACCCTGTAAGACCCCTGTTCTGTGGGCTGTGGATTATCACCTTGGGTACAGGGCTAATGCAGTGTTGGAGGATGCTGACGAGCAGACCTGGAGGCCTGGCTTCTTAGAACAGCACTCCTGCTCATGTGAATGGCCAATAAATATTTCCTTGGGTACATCACTCCTGAGATGCAAGGTAAACTTAGGAAGCCACTAGATATTTCAGGATTCTTGCCAGGGAAAAGAGAACCTGGATGGATTCATGAACTGTGTTGTCTTTCTTCTAGATATAAAGAGTTTAATGAACATTCATCTAGTTTTTAGAATATATCTGTTAAGTCCTTCTTCACCTCTCTGCAAAGTCCCTTTCCACTGGTAGAAATTGTAACATGAATTTTAAGAGTAGAGCAATAGATGTGGTTAGAATGTATAGTTGCTGCCTATTTTATTTAAATTGCTTATCCTGTACACTGTTAGATATTTATAGTGTTCTCGTTTTTGTTAGTTTGTTTATACTAACTTTTCTCTGCAAAGTTGCTCTTTGTTGTTTGATAATTTGTACTTTGAATTTTTTAATGTTTTAAGAAATTTATTTTTGACATTATAAAATCAAACCAAACCAAAACAGACACTGTACATTAAACAGCATTCCAGTTATAGTTTTTAAATGTATAACTTTTATATATATTGGTGAAATATGTATGTATTAATCATGAAAGGTAAATTCCAAATTTAGTAGTTCTTAATTCTTTAGTTTTCTAAAAGTGATGTCTTTAATTTTCTTGTTTTCTTTTCATCTCAATGAAAGTGTATATTGTGGACGCCTAGGTGGCTCAGTCGTTAAGCGTCTGCCTTTGGCTCAGGTCATGATCCCGGGGTCCTGGGATTGAGCCCCGCATCGGGCTCCCCTGCTCGGCGGGAGGCCTGCTTCTCCCTCTCCCACTCCCCCTGCTTGTGTTCCCTCTCTTGCTGTGTCTCTCTCTGTCAAATAAATAAATAAAATCTTTAAAAAAAAATAAAAAATTTAAAAAAGAAAGTGTATATTGTAAGATTAGGGTAGCCTAAAGAGATGAAGATTATTTCATTTATTTTTAGCATCTGAGTGTACGACAGGCACTTACACACTTACCACGTCAAAACTTCATAGACAATAATGATGACCATAGAGATCTTTTGTTTTCTTCTCATTTTTTGAGTAACTAAAAGGTAACTTAGAGATTGTGTAAACACATTGATCTCATTTTACAGATAAACTAGCTGAAGAATTTTGAGATTAAACTACTTAAGGAAACACTCAGATAATAGATTTCATGTTATGAATCAGTTTAATTTTTTTCTCATAAAAGATGTGACTGTCAGATGTTGAGGTCAAGGGTGGTTCTTTTAAAGAAAGAGTCCAAAGCCTGTCTGAGCCAGAGCAAAGGCACTTAAGGGAGGTCATGATGATAGAATTTATGAAGTACATCTCTATCTGACTAAAAGTATCCACACAGACATTAGAGAGTGTTTTTTGTCCCATATATATCTTTTAATCATTATTTTGGTAGCCTGACATCCCATGACCCACGTTAACGAGGACTATAGACTAGTGGGACCATTAGTTGTTCCTTTCTGGCTCTAAGCACGGAGAGGTTTGCAATGTGTGATTCAGTATGGGAAGCCCATTGGTAAGATATCACATGGGCATCAGCATTTAGCATACCTCTGTCTCCCTGTGAAGAGATTAGCCCACTCTAGAGCAGAGAGCTTACTTAGGATGCCAGTGGTCTACATAGCCTGTGAGTTGCAGCCTTGGTTGCCAAGCACCTCTTCCCGTTGTCTAGTACCGATCTCTCACTTCTGAGTAACTACTGCTGAGCTAAACAAGGGTGTTCTGGGTCTAATGTGATGTTCTAATTCACCTTCCATTTTCACCCTCTCCCTTTCTACATGTGTGCATTAAGAGTAAGCCCTCTCATTACCTTCCCTCACACAGTGCAAAAACATAAGCCATGAATATGGCATATAAAAAAATTTATTCGATAGAATATTTCATAAGAGTGTAAACATAGCAACCATCCCCTACATAATTGAATATATGAAAACTATACCTGTGGATATTTTCTGCATACACCTAGCACAACTAAGACCATTGCACCATCCCTCAGCAGCAGTCTGACTTTCTGACATTTCTGTGGAATTAGGCAGATATGAGTTGTTTTCTGTTCCGTGTGTCACGTAGGGACTCTTCATTTCTCTATGCCTTAACGCCCTCTCTTTCTTCTTTCCCTTTCCCTTCTACCCTCTGTCTAGATCATCTCTAAACACCTTCCCTTTTCTTTCTTCCTGTGTTACGTGAAGTATCATCTGAAAATGGCATAACTACATATTATAGTATCTTAGGATAGATTCATTATTCTTTTAGCATAATGGTCATAATGATTTCCTCTTTTATGTTTGTAGTCTTAACAGGTTTTGAAAGTAATAACAGATATGAAATTAAGAACAGCTTTGGACAAAGGATTTACTTTGCAGCAGAGGATACGGATTTCTGTACCCGAAATTGCTGTGGGCCTTCTAGGCCTTTTACCATGAGGATTCTTGATAATATGGGCCGAGAAGTTATGACTCTGGAGAGACCACTAAGGTGTAGCAGCTGTTGTTGCCCCTGCTGCCTTCAGGAGGTCAGTGAGCAATTACCAGGGTCATTTGTAAAGTAGGTCAGCAAGGATTTTTACCCTTTCATTGAATTATGTAATCAAATGAGATTTAAAGGAAAATTGGTCCATAAGCTCTTAGTTTATACTTGAGAGTAAATTGTCCAAGAAGAAATGCAGTGGAAAACAATGAACAGTTAGCCCCATGGCCATGAGTAGTGTGTCTCATGAGGTTGAGATCAGCGATCTCAGAGACGAGGCTTCTTGATCTTCATGGAGAGCTAAGAAGGTAGGGCAAGTTCCTGACCTACAAGGAACATGAAAAGCCTGGCCAAAGCCAGAGCAGTGAGACCATAGAGAATATCCTAGAATATCCCACATGTGTTCATCCCACAGTTTGGGCCAATCTTGCAGAGAGGCCCTCTCTGAAAAATTTCAGTGCCTGTTTTTTTATATATCCATAGAAATTATGAATGTATTTGAGCCCCCTATAAGAGTATACACTAATTGTGAGTACCTTTAGCTCCATAAAGACCAGGTGTCTATTTCATTTACTTGGCAGCCCACTAATAGAGAATGTGGATCTCAGGGTTGATGCTGGGGCACAGAGAGTTTATAGGGAAGTTGATTTTTGCCTGTGTCTCCATTGGCCTGAGACCAGCCCTGCCGGGGCCACTCAGTCATTCCACCCAGGGAGCTGTGCTAGCCTGACAGACACAGTTACAAGCACATGAATATTTGAAATCTAGTACTGTACATATTTTAAAAGGTTAACTGAAGTTATTCATGCTGAATTATTTATTTTCCATATCATTTCGGTTAGATATAGTAATATTTATCCAGGCATATCTGAGGAAAAACTGGGAGTTTGATGTAATATGCTCTACAATATAAAGTGTACATTAACATATATTACACTATTGTAAAAAACAGAGCTAGGAAGTCATTTACTGATGAGCACACTGAGGCACTTTCAAGGTCACCTAGCTAAGTAGCAGAGCCAAGATTCCAGGCTTCATTTTCTTTCCATTTTGGCACCATTGCTACTCATATTTAGTAACTGTACCACTGACCAGAGCTGTGTTCCTACATCTAAACCACTGTTTTTAAAAAAAAGTTTAAGAAAAGAGTTCCTTAACAATTTAGACATTTTTCATAAATGTGGAGATTAAAAAATGTACAAAGGCCAGTGGAGCAAAGCTTTAGTGGAGACGATGCATGCAGCCTGCCCAGGTTTGTACCTCATCTTTTCTTCTTTGTAGTTGGGAATCTGATACAAGTTAATTCACTTCTCTGCTCCTCAGTTACTTTCTCTATAAATAGGGATGATAGTACCAACCTTTTAGAGATGTGTTATGAATTAAGTGGTGCTTAAAACAGTGTCTGACACTTCAAAAGTATTCAATAAATGAGTTATTACTAAACATTATACTTATTATGATTTATATATATTCTCTTGCTTTTATAGATAGCAATCTATGCTCCTCCTGGTGTACCTATAGGTTATGTTACGCAGATCTGGCATCCGTGCCTGCCAAGGTTTACAATTCAAAATGAGAGGAGAGAGGATGTACTAAAAATTATTGCTCCATGTCTACTATGCAGCTGTTGTGCAGATGTTGATTTTGAGGTAAGAGATGTGATGATGTTTACAGGTCTTGCTTTCCTTGTAAGGGGTAATATAATTTGGGAGGATGTTATAAATAAAATAAATTTGTGTGTCCTGATATTTCAAGAGGAAGACAGTGTGCTTATATATTTAACTTTGGTCAGAGAGGTGATTAATGCTCTGATGAAGCATCAGTGTCGATTATACTAAATGGAAAAAAAGAGAAGCAGAGACTTGTAGTCAAATAAATAGATATAAGCAAAACATCCAACATTTGAACATGGTGGTGTCTATATGGATGCTCCATATATTATCCATTTTAAATAAAATGTGAACCTTGTCATCTAGGTCTGATTGCCAAGGCATATGAATCCTTCCCTAGTCTGAAATACAGGCTGCCAGTGCTCTGGATTCTCTTCAGAAGTTCTGACATCTTCTAGTTCCTACAAAAAGCTCACTTATGCAAAGAGAATTTTAAGAAAGAGAGTGTAAGATATACTTCGCAATTATGCCTCTTTTTATCCTTGTGTTAAATTTGGTCACTGTAAACCACAATTTATCTGTGTATTTACTACATGGAGGAATTTCATTATAGCAGTTTTTCCATAGATGGCCTAGCCTCGTAGCCCAAATTATTTAGTTGCAAATGTATACAAATAGGGAGGTTTTTTAACTTAATCTTGGTCTCATGATTCTCTTGGAAAATCATAAAATATATTAAGCTGGACCAACATTTCCACAAAAAGGGACAAAAATCTAAAACTGAGCAGGGCTGCCCCCTTATGATAAGATGTATGAAATCTGACACTGTCCCCTGACTTCCTACAGTTTTCCACTGTCCAGCTCCATTCTTGATATTATCTGCCTGGCTTCTCTTAATCATATGATTTCCAATTCCTCTGTTAGACCCTGATTATATAAAAATTAATCCTTCCCCTCAGTGACTTCAGAGTTGAATGAGAGAGGCAATTCTAAGAAAACACGTGATAGAGACTTTATAAAGACTCTTACAAAGTCATATACATAGTGTAAGGGGGGAATTGAGGGGATGTATACTATGCATGTGTAAAGACTTTATAGTTTTTTGTTTGTTTGTTTTTTGTTTTTTTTATTTGACAGCACAAGTAGGCAGAGTGGCAGGGAGAGGGAGAAGCAGGCTGTCTGCTGAGCAGGGAGCCCGATGTGGGGCTCGATCCCAGGACCCTGGGATCATGACCTGAGCCGAAGGCAGCCGCTTAACTGACTGAGCCACCCAGGCGCCCCAAGACTTTATAGTTTTTGTATAATAAAAGTTCTCTCTGTAGGAGTTACCATTCCTATGAAAGAGCCAGAGGACTGAGAGGTAATTGTTCTTTCAGCGAATATTGATAGAATTTTTGCTGACATATACTTTATTTGTAGAAAGTAAGTGAAAATACTGGTGGAACAAGCGGAATTGGATTGTGAAACTTTAATATTTAATGCTAAGGAATTTAGAAATCTCCCAGCAACCCTTCTCAGTGGATGCCTTAAAGCATCCATTATATGTAATGAATGAACTACTCTCCTGTGCATCTAGAAATGGTGCTAACTAGGTAACATCTTTGAGGGAGCTGAGAAAGTAGTCCTTTGAATCATTTTCTGTAGGCTAGGTAATGAAAAGTTTGGAAGCAGGAATTATCAGTACGAGGAACCACTATGGAACATGGACTCCGTCATAGTGTTGATGGTATGGGAACAGAGTAGAAAAGAGACAATGGCCTGAACAAAACAGGAGCAGGAACCATCCTAAAGGGAGAAATAATTCGGAGACATTTCATAAGTATACCAAGTGGGACTGATTCACAGCTTTGATGTCAGCTGAGCATGAAAGAAAATTTGGAGATGATTCTGATTCATATTGTTCTAATATCTGATGTTTAAGAAGCTCAATGAGGGGCACCTGGATGGCGCTGTCAGTTAAGCATCCAACTCTTGATTTCGGCTCAGGTCATGATCTCAGGGTCGTGAGACTGAGCCCTGCAATGGGCTCCACACTGGGCATGGAGCCTGCTTAAGATTCTCTCTCCCCCTCTCCCTCTCCCTGTCCCCACCCCTGGCTCTGCTCTCTCAATCCTTCTCTTTCTCTCTCTCAAAAAAAAAAAAAAAAGAAAGGGGCGCCTGGGTGGCTCAGTCATTAAGTGTCTGCCTTCGGCTCAGGTCATGATCCCAGGGTCCTGGGATCGAGTCCCACATGAGGCTCCCTGCTCAGCAGGAAGCCTGCTTCTCCCTCTCCCACTCCCCCTGCTTGTGTTCCTGCTCTCGCTGTCTCTCTCTGTCAAATAAATAAAAAAAATCTTTAAAAAAAAAAGAAGAAGAAGCTGAATGGATAATGATGCCATTAGCCAGGTTAACAAACTTGGTAGAAGAAACAGTTGATTTGTGAGAACCTCATAATTTGTATTTGAGTTATGTTGGATTTTTGGTATGTAGAGAAAAAGTTTGGAATGTGTTCAGCATATAGATGGTAGTTGAAGCCATGAGATTGTCCCAAGGGTGAGTAGAAGAAAGACAAGTTGACTTTTTATCCCATGGAGGCGATAAGGGAATCTGTCTACTTCCAGGACTTTTAGTAGGGGGAAAAAAACCCCCATGAAACTGCTAATACATTATAGTCCCCTCTATGAGTCTGAAGTCTGAATTCATACCACTGTTATGGATGAGGAACGTCATAACGTAGAAATTGATCCTGAGTGGTGATGACAGATGACAGAATTAAATGCAAAAGCACACTAGAAGGAGATCACCAAAGATTGATTACCAAAACACTCTGTTCCTATAGGAAAAGCTGATATTCACAAGAACAAATCAAAAATTACATAATGTTCAAGAATTAATTCACCACCAACAAACTGCATATAATACAAAAGTCTGCAATCAATCATACAAGAAATATCTAAATAAACATTAAAGAGGCTAAAGAAGAAACAAAAAAGGTCATAAGGGGAAAATGAGACTATTTGAAAAAGGACAGGAGGATCTGAAAACAAACCAAATAGAAATTCCAGAAATAAGGAACACTCATTGATGAAACCTCATTGGAAGGGTTGAGCTGAAACCCCTCTTTGGGTTGAGCTGAAAATTAGATACAGGTGAAGAGGGAATTAATGAACTGGATGATCTATATGAGGAAAATAAATAGGAGGGTGGGAAAAGATAAATTTGAAGGGACCAAAAAAATTTAAAGAATTGTGAAAGCTAGAATAAACTACTCTTGCATGTGCCAAAGAGAAGTCACAGAAAAAGAGAATACAGAGAATGTGCCGAGATAATATTCAAAGAGATAAATGGATAAAATCATGCAGACTTAATGCCATGGTTTCTCAGATTCAAAAAGTACAAGGAGTTTTGAGTTAGAAGAAGAAATGACACTCAGATACAACTTGAACTGCAAACTTCAAACTAAAAAGGGAAACCTAAAATCAGGAAGTGGGAGGGGGGAAGGTTATCTCTAATATGTAATTCCTTGAACATTAGGGATTATGAACATTTTACTCTAAGTTTACTGGCTAGTTGTGTTTTTCTCTTTGAATTGTCTATTCATGTCTGTTGCCTATATTTTTATTGGGTTGTTTACTTTTTTCTCGTCAATTTATAAATGTAATTTGTATGTTGAAGACATTGGCCCTGCATCTGTCCTCTGACCTGCAAATAGTTTCCACAAATCTACCCTTTCTTTGTGGAATTTATATATATATGTATTTATATTTTTATATTTATATACAAATATGTGTCATATATAGTCACATATATCTATTTTAATATCTTCTCATTCTCCTGTCTTGATTATGAAGTTATCACCAACTTTATATTTTATTTACTTCTTTAATCTTTTTATATTTAAATCTTTAACTTACCAGGAATTTTATTTGTAGAAGACAGGATCAAACATTTTTTTCCTTCAGATGGCTAGAGAGCTATGTCATCACAATTTATTAAGTAGCCATTCCTTGCTGAATTGAAATACTGTACATTAAATTCCCATAAATAATGGAATCTATTTCTAGATTCCCCTCTGTTTCATTGATCTAATTATCTGTTCTTACAATAGTGCCTTATGATTCAATTATGGCAATTTAATGATGTATTCTATATCTAGTCATAGCCAAACAGCCACTTATATTTTTATCATATTTTTTGCTACTATCAGATTTTTCCTTTCCTGTGAATATTAAGGCAATTTTTCAAAAGTTAGAATCCTGTTAGTATTGTATTAAATCTGTATACTATTTTTCAAAAAGTAGCATTTTTATGATGGTAAACCTGTCTCATCCCAGAAGTGTTGTGTCTTTTTATTCATTCATATCTAATTTTATATTCTTCATAAGATCAAATGGTTTTCTTTATATAGAACCTCTATCTTTTTTTGTTAAAATTTTCCTAAGTAATTTATAGGCATTATCACTATTAAGAAGGAATATAGATGTATTAGGTACTTATTCTTAATATTGAAAAAGGCTATTTATTTTTTTACCTTTTATCCATTCTTCTGACTGGATTCTGGTATTTAACTCAAGAAACATTTTTGCTTATTTATACTTGTTTTTTCTAGTTAAAAATTACAGAGCAAAGTGAAATCATTTTAACTTCTCATGTTTATTTACCAATTAGCTCATTTTCTTTTCTAGTCTACTTGAGTGGCAAAACTGAATAGTAATGCCAATTGTGAGAATACCTGCCAAGTTGATGACTTCAACTGAAATGTTTCACAATTTAAAAAGACATTGGCTATTATTTTTCATATTGTTTTTCTAGTCCTATTTTACCTAGAGTAAGAATTAGCAAAAAAAATTTTAAAGATGAGATAGAAAACATTTTAGACTTTATGGGTCATATGGTCATTGTGTGCAACTATTCAAGTCTGTCATTGTAGCATGAAAATAGTTACAGACAATATATAAATACTGCATATAACTGTGTCCTAGTATGACTTTTGTACAAAAAAGGTGGGTAGGCTAGATTTGGCCCACTGATCATTGTTTGCTGACCCCTTACCTAGATTTTTATTAAGAATTGATACCGAAGTATCTAAAAGCAGGGTATCATAGTGGTCATGTTTATAGATTCTGGAACAGAGTGCCTGGGTTTGAAATCCTCCGCACGACTCCTTATATGTGAACTTAGACAAATTATTTAACCTCTACTTGCCTCAGTTTTTCCATATGAAAACTGTGTTTAATAATAGTACATATTTTGTAAAGATACTGTGAGGGGGAAAAATCACCTGATACCTATAAAGCATTTATATGTTATGCATATGCTAAATGTTACATAAATGCTTAATTAGCTAATAAATAAAATACTTTTTCAGCATCTGATATACCAATATGTTTTGAATTATATGATGTCCTAGCATTATACAATTTATTACACTATATTCTTTTGCTACTTACCTAGGTTCTACGTACTAATGTTCTATTTGAATTTTTTGCATTTATATTTATATTATAAGATGAGCCTATAGATTTATTTTTAGAATACCACTATCAATCATCCTTATAAATGTATAGGTATATATTAGTTTATTATTTCTAGAAGTTGCAATCATTTTATTGTATAAATTTTCCATTTTTAAATACCTAGAATTTAGCTAAAAATTATCTAATCCTATTTACTTTTCAGTTATAAATCATTATTCACATTTCTGAGCCTTTTCATAAAAAATTACATGTTCTACTTCTTACATAAATTTTGGTAAATTTTTAAATTTCTTACTATAGGAATAAAAAGGAGAAAAGTCAATATCAGTTAAATCTAGTGGTAGGATTATGGTGGCTTATAAATCATCTTTTGTATATTTCATTTAAAAACACTTCAGAAATTAAAAATGACTAAATTTAAAAATAAATATAATGTTTTATTACTAGCTTCAAATGCTGATGACAGCTATTAATGTATAAAACACAGGGGCGCCTGGGTGGTGCAGTCAGTTAAGTATCAGACTCTTGGTTTCAGCTGAGGTCATGATCTCAGGGTCCTGGGATCCAGCCCTGTTTCAGGCTCCATGCTCAGTGTGGAGTCTGCTTAAGATTCTCTCTCCCTCTCCTTCTGCCCCTCCCACTTATGCTCTCTCTCTTTCAAATAAATAAATAAATCTTTAAAAGCAAACAAAAAACACAGGTATGCAAGAGGAATTTGTATTAGTTTGTTTAGCCACAATAGTGTTGCATAACAAATAACCCCTAAAGCTCAGTGGCTTAAAACTACAGGTATTTATTCTCATGCTAATGGCTATGCAGTTCAGTTGTGTCTCAGGGAATATACCCAGGCTGAAGCTAGATGGCTCTGATTTGGGCTGTAAGTTGGCCTCAGGTCTACTCCAGGTATATTCAATCTGGACCTGTAGCAAATGCAGCTACCTGGATCATGTATTTCTAGTGGCTGATCACTGGAGAGCAAGAGCCAGGCCAAACTACTTAACCATGTAGGCCTCTGCTCATGTCACATCTACTAACATTCCATTAGTCAAGCAAGTCATATGGCCAACCCTAAATATCAGTGTACAGGGACATATACTGGGCCTTCAATTGGCGGGGGAGGGTAGTGCATGAATATTTGCTGAACAGTAATCTATGCTATCACAGTCAAGTTAGCAGTTTATTTCAAATTTGTAAAGAACCCATCCACCCATGCCAAAATAAAATGAGTCAGCTGTTTTTAGTTTCCCCGCATTTTTTTAAAGATTTTATTTATTTGTCAGAGAGAGAGAGCACAAGCAGGGGGAGCAACAGAGGGAGAGGGAGAAGCAGGCTCCCACTGAGAATGGAGCCCAATGTGGGACTTGATCGCAGGACCCTGGGATCATGACCTGAGCCAAAAGCAGACACTTAACCAACCGAGCCACCCAGGTACCCCTGGTTTCCCCACATTTATTTTGCTGTTCTCAGCCTGAGCTAGGGCTTCTGTGGGTGTTGCTAGCACTTGTGGTACCTTGTGCCCATTTGAAAAGGACATTTCTCTTCCTGGTTTGACATAACTCTGCATGCCCATACCATGGTAAGTGTGGGCTATGTTCATCCCCCCACATACCTACTTGGTGAGGTGCATTTGTCCAGCCACAAAATGTTCAACTCTTTAAGATGGCCCTGGGCTTTCCTCAGGCAGAATTGTAAAATTAGAAAATCTTACTTTGGAGCTCTTTTTATCATCTGTCCTTTTTGTTGTTCACTGTCCATCCACCCCACTGTTCAGTCTTACCCCAACTCTTGACCTGTGGCATCCCATCAAGTTACTTATTGGTTATTTTCCTTTACTCAAAACTGCCAAATATATAAAGAAAGAAAATTCTTCTTTTCCAGGCTCTTTGCATTTCATATTTTCTACTGATGGTGGTAACGAACCCTCCCATCACATTTAAACACAGCTTATGTAAACTCTCTGTGCTTCTCTTACAGCATGGGGGATTAATTTAATACCTTCCTGATGGCTTCTAGAAATTTCACCAAAGAAACATTTTATATTTGTATCTTTTTCTGCTTAAATTTTGTTTTAGATCAACTCATCTATTACTGTCTTAATGTAGAATAGAAAATGTTAAATATTTAAGCAAAACTACTTTCATGTTCAGTTCTCTGCAGCAAAGAAACAGGTTTCTTTTTTCATGCATCTAAAAGTAGATACAAGAATCTATATACATTTAATGAGTGATATGATGTTCATAGTTAAGTATTGCACATAATTTTGATAGAGTATTTCACTTTATTTCAACTTTTAGTTTGTTACTAGTTTTCTAGAATTCATTAAGAATGTATTTTTTTTTTCATTTTAGATTAGATCTCTTGATGAAGAAAATGTGGTTGGAAAGATTTCCAAGCAGTGGACTGGTTTCATGAGAGAAGCATTTACAGATGCTGATAACTTTGCCATCCAGTTCCCTTTAGACCTTGATGTGAAAATGAAAGCTGTGATGCTCGGTGCATGTTTCCTCATTGTGAGTCTATTCTTGCTAATCTTGGGTTTAGATGGTTTTTCTAGTATCATTCTGAAATGTTTAGTAAGTTGTACATTTTTAAATGACCTTGTTAAATTTATAGGTTTTATTCCAAGGGGGCCCCATTTAATTCTAGCTCTGAAATTTTATTATCTCCTGGTATTCTGGGTTTGCAGGTGACTAGTTTCTCTGGAGAGTCTATGCAATTTCATTTGGTAACAGAAAGACCTCATGTGTTGAGGGGCCCTGGTCTTTGGGGTTTTTATTTAAAAATTGAAGTCAGTACTGTGCAAAAGAGTTTGAATTTGGGCTTACATGGAATAGACTCAGTAAAACAAGATTTCGTCCTGATTCATTATTAAATTAAATCATCTAATGCAGGAGTCTAAACTGCAATAAGAGTAAACATCCAATCAAGCCATTAAGTAGAACTGCCATTTGAAAGGAATTACGTGGGATAGAGCTGTGATTCTGAACTTATCTTCACATTTAATCAGCCAGGGAACTTTAAAAAAAACCCCAAGTATCAGGCTGTACCCCAATTTAACTAAATTAGAGGCTCAGAATTAGAAGTTTCTATAGCTCCCCAGGTGACTCCATATGCAGCCAAAATCAAGGACTCCTGGGACAGAGCAAGAGTTTCCAACCCTAGCTGCTCAGTAGAAACACCTGGATAGCTATCAAACTCCCTTTGTCAAGACTGCATCCAGATAGTAAATCAAAATATCTGAAGTGGGACCAAGCCTGCAAGCTGTTTAGAGCATCAGGTGATTCCAGTATGCAAGGAAGGTTTGGAGCCACTAGATGAAGATCTTAAACACTCACGTGAGGATGCAATGCCAAAAACACTAAAAAGTGAGAAAATATACAGAAAAAGGATCCAGTTACTTCAACAAATAAGTGTCAGTAAAATGAAAAGATAAAAATAATATAAAAAGAGAGAGAAACTTAAGAGACCTCAACTTAATGCTATTTGTAGACCATATGTAGATACGGATTTGAACAAATGAATATAAAAAGACATTTAGAAGGAATTCAGAGAAATTTGAACATTGACTGGCTATTTGATGGTATTAATAGATTATTATTTTTAAAAATATGCTAATGACATTGGGCTTATATAAAAACAAGAGAGTCCAAATTTTTAGGGGCACACACTGAAGTGTTTCAGCATAAAATGGTATGATATCACAGATTTGCTTTTAAATAATGAGGGTGAGGGCAAGGGGGATTTAGGAGATAGAGTAATTGATGAACCAAGATTGGTCATGTTAATAATTATTAAAACTTGGTGAGTGGCCATTAGGATTTTATTTTGCTATTCTATCTAATTTGGGATAGGCTCGATGTTTTCTGTATAAAGTTCTAAATATAACCACAGTTAGGTTTAAAAACTGTGTTTTCACTGTTTATTTCACGTGAAAAGTAAAATTAAACTTAACCTTAGGAAACGGTTTGACCAGAGGTACACACACAATAACCAAAGATATGGTGTATAAAGGGAAGAGAGGACAGTCTGGGGTGTTTGGATAGATGAGAAATGGGGTTGGGAGTTGTGGTGGGGTTATTAGGAAATGACTATGGTGCACATTGGGCCTCTTCTAAAGGACTTTTAAAGATTGGACAACTTCTTGTAGATGTGGGGAAGACACTGAAAATTATTTAGTTAATTGGTTGGTTTTAAACTAGGTATAAATAAAAAGCTATAAATCCAAATCTCAGAAAGATAAATCCTGGTGACTAGGTAAGAAATGGGTTGATGAGAGGTAAAATTAACAATAGTGCAATTGCAAGTAAATGATGATAAGGATTAAATTATTTCTGTGTGAACAGATAAAGGAAAATGATAGATGTGAGAGAATATCCATAGGATTTGATGAAAGTCATAGGGAGGAAGGGGGGTCTGGTTAGACACTGATGTAGTGAGACAAGTTGGGGAACACAGTGGACAAGTTTGCGAGAGAAATCATAAAACTGGGCCAAAAAAATCTAAGATGCATGCTACCCCTAAGATGGCTGTCATTCTCCTGAGAAAATCTGAAAGTTGTACATTGAATCCCAGTCTTAAGAAAAGTTGTATTACTAGAGAAGGAGTACAAAAAGTTAAGGAAGAAAGATCAAAAATAGGAATATTCTGAGTGGCATGAGAAAAAGTGAAATTTAGAAGAATTACCAGAGAATAAATTAAATTCATGCAGGTCATCAGTAAGTGGATAGAATTACAGGATTTACGTGTTATTATATTAGAAAGCTATCAACTTTTCCCAGATGTTCCCTGCTTTGTTGCTGAAAACTCATTTCTGTATTTTTGTTTTTATCTAGGACTTCATGTTTTTTGAAAGCAGTGGAAACAGAGAATAAAAGGAGCGTGATGGTGGGTTAATGAAAGTCTCCTCAGAAAGTTTGAAGTCTGTGTATTGATTGGGACTATGTAAAAGAAAAGCTCACTGTTTTTTTTTCTTTACTGAAATGACTTAGAGCATATGTGAATTATACTGTGATGCCTGAAGCTCCTGTCATATATGACTTTTCAAATTATGAGTTTATTGTCTATATCACTTACTTATAAATGTTTTTATGCATTTTTTATTTCATACATTTTCTTTTTCTTCACGTATTTTGGAGAAAGGACATGGGAATTTTTACATTTAATCATGAAACTTCCCATGGTAAATTGTTTTGAACTGTAATCTCTTTTATTTTCAATTTTTAAAGTATTTAAAGCCTTATTGAAGTAATTTTAATATAAAAAGTTACATTTTATTAAATATAGTTCCAATTTACTTCTCATGTGTAACTACTAATGTTACTTTGCAAATGCCATATATTCACGTTAAAAATCAATATAATTTCAGTTTCCTTTACAATTATGTCAAAATAATACTTAATATTCATATTACCAAGGAACATAAAATGTGTATTTTTTTGTTCAGCAAATTACAGTATATTTAATTTCTTTTATAAGCTAATCTACTACTATAAAAAGATTTTCATATTGACAAGACAATAAATTACTGATGTTTTAATGATTTCCAATGAAAAAGATATGTCCTAAAGAAGAACACATTTAAAGACTCATTATAAAACTGGAACATTGTTGTAATTTTTGAAGTAATTATTTACACATGGAATGAATGGTTAGCTCCTGTATTCATTTTATCATTCATAGAGCATAATAGTTATGAGGTCACTCAGGTATTAAATAGAACATATATATCCATCTGAGTAGAAACTTCAGTAATGGTCTGTTAGATTATTTACACCAACAATCAAATAACTGATTTAAAAATTATTGATACATTTCGTTGCATATTTGATATTTAAATAAACTGTGATTAGTCAATTTAGATGGTATTCTGAACATTACACATTTACCACCTGTTCCCTTTCAGATCTCCTTTAAAAGGAGCAAAAGCATATGATGATCTTTATTAAAATCCGTACCAGTGCTGTAAAGCAATATTTCTACCTGTCAGAAATTTAAAGGAATTTTTATACTCTATTTTGTAGGAAAGAGGATATGTCTAACTCACAATTTAACTAATGCAAAGAAAAAGTGTGTTTAGGAAATAAGGACTTTGGGGAGAAACTCCGGTTCATCTTTAGCAGAACTCCAGCAACACCACTAGCCCCTAGTTTTGAGAACATTGGGATGGCAGGGGAGCTACAGGGGAAGCGACAAACTTTCATTAGCCCAGACAGCCGCCCCCCCATGCCAGATTCCAATAATGAGGTGTAACTGAAACACTCGTGTTGAGTTTACAGTTGGTACAGACAGCACGCCAGATAAAGTGAAGGTACTTTCATTGCTGTTTCTTAGAGGCTACATCTTACTTTCATTTTCCCTCTGCTCTCCTACTCCTCCTCCCCGTTCTTTGCATAAGATTCAGGAACTCTAGTTAAGCAAAGTAAAACTACAACTGATCTAAACAGTTCTTTCCTTCTTCAAGGATGTGCAAGGAAGTGTTGAGCAGAAACCCACACACTCTGCAGAACTCATTTAAGTTCAAATACTAGAAAAATATATTATCATGAAACAATAAAGAGAAAAATCATCACACATGAAAAGTTAGAAATTTAAATGAGAAAATTACCAGGAATTATAACAAATGTCCTGACATTTGTACACAAGTTTATAATTTCAATGAGATTTGAGGGAATGCTGCATATTTATTTCTGGAAAAGGCAGTAGAGAAAAAGGAACATTCTGGTGAGACAAAATTTTAATGTTGAAAAATTTGATGGAGACACTGGAACAATAGATGGCATAAAGTAGAAGGATAACACAATAAAGTAAAAGGGATTTTAGAAATTCTCCAGGGAGTCAGACAAACTCAAAGGGTAGAGGGAAAAGGTGATTCCTGAGGAACAAATATATCAATTTTAATTGATACACAACAGGAATTTCAGAAGCAGAAATCAGATGGGGCCAAGAGAATACTTTAAAAATATGAGAAAATATATTTGCAACCAAAATGGACTGTAGTCTCTGGGTGAATGGATTTACTACATAGCAGACAAAATTAATCAAAATAACCTATTTATGATTATTCATAAAACAATTATCACATGCCTGTCCTATGGCAAACATTGTTAAGCTGTAGTAGAAGGGTTTCTGTGGCCTAGCTTCTATGATATTCCCAGTCTGGTTCATTTTTCCTTACTTCACCAATAGGGTTCAATCAATTCAGTATTCTTTAATCACAAGCATTTTTTAAAGGAAAAAGAATGTGGGACTAAAAAGTAAATTCTATAAAGGTACTTGGGGCCTTCTCCCCCCATTTTCCTTTGCCTGCTTTAAAGTGGAGACCATACCATTTCAGAGATTCTTTCCCTCAGAATGATGTGAACTGTAGAGATGTAGTGTCATGGACTCATTCAGAACAGGGGTCCTTTTTGCCTGTCTTCTACCCCAAAGAGAGCAAAGGAAAACATCACATCTCAGGTTGTCATTCTGTCCAAGTTCTGAATTTTGGCTTCCAAATACACTCTCCAGTTGAACTGGGCCCTTGAAGAAATGGTTGATCCCAGAGTTGTGTCAGGGAAAAGAACAAGACAAACCTCAAACAACTTACGGAAAAACAAGGAGGTGCTTGATGGGCCATGTCTAAAGGATGAAAGAACTATCATGAAAGGGCTCCCACCAGCAAAATTAAAGACAATTTGAGCATCAAAATATTAATAGCGAGGCATAATTACCTATTGAATCAAATAGGATACCACACATCCCTACAGATACACTTAGAAATAAATGTGCAAATTAAAAGTTTGATGAGAAGAGACCTATAGTATCAAATCACTACCCCACAAAGTCCTTTTAATTTTAAGGGGGGAAGAGTAATTTTACAGCAAAACCTAGCAGCTCCCACCATAATCAAGTGATTGAAGTGATCATCAGTAATGGGAAAAAGTGCAATTGAGTAACACCTGATCAGAAGCAGTGAGAGGCAGCATCACAGGATCTATGTCATATGGGAGAGTTCACGGAATTTTTTTAATGCTCAGTGAGCTCACCTTTCATTGTGGTATGCCTGTTGTCCAGTACTTGTGTTTATCTGGTTATGAAATGGGCTTAGTTTGTAGTTTGTTGTTACGGTTATTCTCAGTGCACCTCAAGCTTCAAATTCTTCTAGTATTCAAGATGTGAATTAGTTTGCCAGAGGGTTTTACTAAATGTCTGCTCCTCAGAATCTGTCACTTGAGCATTACCAGCTGTAATTCACTGTTCTTTTCACTCAGTGCTTGTTAACCTGGGAGTGGGGATGTTCCGTTTGTCAGTCTTTTTTTTTTTTTTTTAAGATTTTATTTATTTGTTAGAGAGAGTGAGTGATAGAGAGCACGAGAGGGAAGAGGGTCAGAGGGAGAAGCAGACTCCCTGCCGAGCAGGGAGCCCGATGTGGGACTCGATCCCGGGACTCCAGGATCATGACCCGAGCCGAAGGCAGTCGCTCAACCAACTGAGCCACCCAGGCGCCCTTAAGTGTCAGTCTTAAGCAAACACTGTAAATCTTGTGAGGCCATACCCCAATTCAATGTAGTCTGAAGTCCGAGACTGTGGGGACTTGGCCAGTTTATCTCTTTAATCATGTCATCATGCAACAGGCATTCGCAGAGAGCCTAGGACTGGCTAGAAATCTCAGAGCTGTGTCTGGGTGTATTTATGGGAGGGGAGTTGATGGGTGATGGGGTGTCAGGGAGGAGGGTTGATAACATCTTTCAGTCAAAAGATACTCAACAAGTAGACAAACCTAATGATTCCAGTTAGAAACAGAGAGAATAAGGAATGTCATCCTAGTAAGTCAATTTCAATTAGTGTGTTAATCTTGATTCCCTTTGATAATTAATTACTTTGTGACAATGAAAACAATAATCACCATTACTCCAGTAGCTAGAGTAATAAGGCACTTTTTAAGTATGATTCAAGGCTCCCCAAGAACTTTTCGGCTCCAAAAAAAGAAAAGAAAGGAAGGAAAGTGAGAAAGAAGGAAGAAGAGTTATTATTTGCAGTAGAAGCCAACTGAAAAAAGAAAAGTAGAAGAAATGACGGAATTAGAAAATCACCACTTGCCAGTTATCATCATAATTTGATTCCAGCAAGAAAACATTAATGGTTGCTAAAATCAGTGGTAAAAGTTTGAGGTATTCCTATATTACCATATTCATAACACTATAGTACACTGTCTCAAAGTTGCTGCCTGTAAGATAACTATTAATTTAAAAAGAGTAAGATAGTAAGATTTTGTTAAGATACCTATTAGTTTAAAAAGAGAAAGATAGTAAGATTCTGTTACTGCAGAATACAGTTCAGCTAAGCTTTCTGATATTATCTAACAAATATCCCCTTTCTTCTAGTTTCCTATGTTCTTCATTTTCATCTGAGCCCATGCCTTTGGTGCCTTTAAATCCATATTTCTACCATCAGTCTATTCATGATGAGGTATGTGTTCTAAAATAGTATGTATTTTCTCTACCATGTTCCTCAGTTCCTTCTGAGTACTGAGAGTAGAGTCACTTATATCCATATTTCTGTGAACAGTCTGCTTAAGGCAATCTTGGCTTTTTCTATCATGCTTCTCAAAATTCTTCCAGCTTCTACCCATTTCCAAATCCCAAAACTACTTCTACATTTTTAGGTATTTGTTGCAGTAGCACCCCACTCACTTCTAGATCCCAAAATTTGTATCAGTCTACTATTGCTGCTATAACAAACTACTACAAACTTAGTGGCTTTAAACAATACAAATTTACTATCTCAAACTTCTGGAAGCCAAAAGTCTGAAATGAGTCTTACTAGACATCATTAATTGAATGTGTTTCCACAAAATTCATATGTTGAAGCCCTAACACCAATGGTAACTTAATCACTCTAAGGAACTAATTAAGTTTCAATGAGCATAAAGAATGTGGTCCTGATCTTATAGGATTAGTGTCTTCATGCACACAAACCAAGAAAGGCCTTGTGAGGACATACAAAAGGGGCATCTACAAGTCAGGAAGGGAGCTCTCATCTGAAACCAATCATGCTGGCAACTGGATCTTGAACTTCCA